GTTGGCCTGTCTGCCATTCTGTCTGGCAGACCTCCATGGATGTGCAGCTTTCCTTGCCTCAGCCTAGCAGCTCTCCCCCCACGTCTGCCTCACCTAATCTTCAAAGCTGAGCTCCTGCTCACAATAGCTTCACCGTGGCCATACCCATTAGCGACGGGGGTGTTCCCCTAATGAGCTACTCCCCTGCCTTGGCTGGCGCCGGGCTAGCCACACCTGTTTGCCATCAGGGCTGTCTCGGGCCGAGCCAGTGTGGCTCAGTTGCAGGTGGTAGAGCTGAATGAGGGGTGGGGTGGGGAAGGCTGGCTCCTTTTGCTTTGTGCTGTGTGCTTATGGGGGTGAGGGGCAGTTTCTTACACCCCCGTTTCCTCTATATTGTTCTCTTCTTTCTAAGCGGAGGGAATGCTCTTTGCTTTCTTTTCTGTTATTCAAAAGGAGTAATAAAGGAACTTGAGTATCTTGTCTCTTCTAATTTTCCCCTGGATGGAGTAGAGAGGATCTGGCTAAGGTCTGAGGGTAGGGTTTGTTCATCTGTTCTGGTGACCCTGAGGGGCTAATGTGGTGATAGCAAGGTCACATGATAAATGCCAAGGGTGGACCACCTTTCTGGCCTTAGACCCCTAGTCTTTGGAAAGCAATCATGTCCCTTGAGCCCACAGGCAGGATTGGGGGACCCTTCCTTAAAGGGGCCTCTTGCATTCATGAAACTGAAGGAACTTTTGATTTGGTTGAAAAAAATCTCATTCCTTTTTATGGCCTGGACATAATTGGCTCTTTTCTATTGGCCATCAGTGATGTCATTCCGGCCCTCATAAAGAAGGGGAAATCACACCTGTGGACTCGGTGCATAAAATTTCATTGGGCAGCAGTAATAAGCATGACCAGATGATGTTTGGGCAGTTGGGGAGCTTTGTGCCCAGTGAATCCAGCTGCATGGAGACCTGGGCACCATAAACCTGCCTGCACATTCATGCCCGCAGGCTAGTCCAGGGCCCACTGCCAGTGGCTCTTTTCTTGGAATCAAGATCTGGTAGGAATGTACAGCATTCAGACCGTTTGTCCCTGGGGCACTTTTTTTTTCTGATAGTTTGGTGGAACCATGTACCCACTGATACCCACTGACCTTAGGCACTTAAGAACCTTGAACCCAGGCGTGGCCTTGAGCAGTGACCACTATGCTACTTGCTTCTCTAAGGCCCCAGGCTTTGCCTTCCCAGGGACTGTAGAGAACCCTGAGTGTATCTATACAGCTTATGCCTGTACAGTGAGAAGCTTTAGGTTCCATTTCTAGTACGACCCTTGGCTTGTTGTTTGAGCAAATCCTTTTCTTCTCTGAGCCTCAGTTTCATCTTTTGTGTAAGGGATGATGACCACTGTAACCCACCTTCCTCACAGATTTCCTGTCTTGATCCTCTCTAAGCTGGGGTAGGGTGTGTGATAGAGATATGTAGCTGTCTTCCCATGAGGCACCTGCGAGCTCAAATTCTGGCATTGGTCCTATGTCTCTCATGAAGATGGGGCTGGGCCTTGCCACATTTGTATGGCTTGTATCTTGGAGTCATAGGGCTAGGACCACCCAGAGGACTACTCAGCAACCTGAATGCCTGCGAGTGAATCTGCAAACTGCGTGTGTACCTGCAAGTCGCTAGAGCCCCTGAGTGAGAGTTATAATGCCTAACCCCCATGTGCATCAGTCAGACATGGAATTCAGAATGACACTCAGGACTGGGGCTGAGCCATATCTCAAGCTGAGTATCCGACCTGACAGTCTGGTCTGTCCTCAGTGTGGCCGCTCTGGGTTAGGTCTTCCTCTGAGAAGGATAGGTATGATCCTACTGACCTAGACCCTTCCTAGACAGTGGAAATGTCTACAGCTGTGTCTTCCCTTAAAATTCTGCTAAAGACAGAGCCCCTTATTCTCCCAGGGCTAGCCAGAGCCAAAAGGACTGCTGGCCTGTGTCAACTAAAAGAGAGTGCTGCAGTTGGCTAGGGGAGAATAAGATTGAGGCTCCCTGCCTTTTGCTGGCCAATCCCCCTGACTTATTCCCTTTGTAGATTCTGCTGCTTCTGGTGGCCCCCTTCACTCATAGACCTTAATGTGATTTTTCTAAAATAGCTGAGTTCAGCAAGGATTTTCACAAATACCAAGGATAAAGAACATGAAAGAAAGATTGAAGGAAATAGAATTATTGTCAGATTACAGTTCTGCTTTTTAGGCAACCACATTCTAGCTCCTAAGGCTACCTTTCATCCTTAAAAACCTTGCCTTATTTCCTCATGTTCTTGGTCCTTCATCCCACATGGGCACATCTGTCTGGATACCCCTTCATCATCTTGACCTCAGCCAGAATTTCCGTTCCGGGAAACTGACCAGTTGTAGTTAATGTCACTGTGCCACTTGGATGTTTGAGAGTAACCTTTTCTTCAGGTGAGATATCTTGGGTCTTATAAAAGTAAATCCTTACGATACACTGCCTGAAACAAGGGGATCAATTTTCTATTAGTATCTGTCAAATATTTGAAGGATAATGGAGGGAAGGCTGGACTGCCTTGAACTTTCTGGAGTGGAATCAGTCATCTCAACTGGATTCTTGTAGCCAAACTTTCCAGAAAAGGATTTTGCACTTGTTATCTCCACTGTCTTATCTCTCACTCTTTCCACACTTCGCAGGTTGCCTTCTGCCTCCCACACTCAACCCACTGATCCCCCTTTCACGAAGATTATTTGTGACCTTCTCGTTACTAAATCCATTGGGTTTTTCCCAACTGTCATCTTGCTTGACCACTCTATGGCAGTTGACACTAATGACTTACATTTCAAACTCAAAAATCAGTTCTATATATTCCAGAAAGGGGAAGCACGCTTTTATCACAGTTTAGATTGACCACAGGTAATATGAAGTGAGGTCAAAAGAGCGTGTCTGACTTTAGGTGTCTAATACTCTGAGAAAGGTCTGGGGCCTTGCCCTTTGGCAATGTGGATAGGTTGGGTAAGTCCTGACTGATGGCATATTGTCTCCTGAGGAACTCTTAAAGTTGATAAGGGTATGTGGGTTGGAGAAGGGGGACTCTCATGGAAGCTTTCTAGACTCTCAGATCTTGGAAGGGTTCTGTGAGGAAAAGATGGAAGTCTTTTTCTCTGTATTTTCTAAAGACATACTTTGGACCCATGGGTAGATGTTACAGGGAGACAGACTTTAGCATTTAAGGAAGGATGTTCTAAGAATCGAGTCCAAAATTAGATCTGGCCGCTTCATGAAGTGAGGTCCTTGTGTGTGATGATGGTCTGATGGAGGTAACCTGGTTTCATTTTAGCTCAATAAAACTTGCAAGGCATTAGCCTGGGCCCTCTGCTCACCTCACTCTATACTGTTCCCAGGTGATCTGATTTACTCTCCTGGCTTTAATTTTACTTAGGTTATGTGAATGATTACATTAATAATTATATTAATGATTTGACAATCTGTATTCTTATTCCAGACCTCTCTTCAAAACTGGATATCCAGTTGCCTCTGAGACACCATTTCACTGCCAAGTATCTCCTAGGCACCTCAAACTCAGCAGACATCGAGTGCTTATTGTGTGTCAGGCATATATCTACAACTGCATTCCCAACCTCATGCTTCCTTCTAGTGGCATACTAAAGATGGGGCAGGGGAGCAGTTCCCCCCCGAGTTTGGGCAGAAAGTGGGTATGCTACAGGTAGAGCATTTAAAAACAGTAATAAAATTGACCAAATGCTGGCATGCTCCAGATGTCACATAGGCTCTCCATGCCACTGCTTCCTTCTTTGGATCCATCTTAGTGGGCAGCATGAAGCTAGCAAGCAGAGCTCTACTGTTTTCTCACTGGGTCCCACGTTTTATTTAGTCACCGGGGCCTCCTTTACATCTTAATGTCTGTTCCTTGATCACCACCTTTACCACTACTGTTTCTCTCTCCTGGCTCCTACCCTGCTCTTTTAGTCTATTATTTTTGCTGCCTCTAGAACAGTCTTGGTAAATCACAACTCATCAGAGGCTCTCCATTGCCTGTGACAAAGCTCTTCTCTTAGGAATAAGACTATGATCTTTCCGGGCTGCTATTTCCAGTATTGTCTTCCTCCATCCTTGCATATACCCCCACGCTCCAACTTAAGGCTGTTTTTGTCTTTCTTTCATTGCCCGTACCTCTGAACAAACTGAGCCCTTTCTGGGCAAGAGTTACATCTTGCTTTTTGACTCCTAAGTTCCTGACCCTTGTTAAGCATCAATGCGTGTTTGATTGAGTGGATTTGTCTGAGTAAAACAGCATCACCAACTAGAGGGGGAGATAGTTGATAAATTCTAATTTAAAGAAAAAAAACAAGAACAGACCCTTGATTTAAATTCTGACCTCTTCTTGTCCTTCTGCCTGGCTTCTTCTCTATATAACACAAACCTCTAGCCAGAGGCTTAAATGTGAGCTGAAACCCCTGCTCATCTATCTCTAAATCATATGCTCTGTCTTTCTCTCCTCCGGTCTTGTCTGTCTGCCTCTCTGCTGTAGCAAAACAACAAACCAGTGCATAGAAAGAACATAGGCTTTGGAGTCAGACAGAACTGGGTTCAGTTCTTGGCACTATCATATTTTAGCTGTGGGACCTTGGGTAACCTCTCTAAATCTCATTTTCTAGTCTGTAAAATGTAGACAACAGTACCTATGTCTCAACATTGCATTGAAGATGAAATGTGAAAATATAAGGTGCTTGGCATACTGTAAGCCATTAGAAAATAGTGGCCTGCTGCTGTTATTTCGAAAAGAGTTTTTGGGCTCTCACACTTGGATCTGAGGGCTAGAGCTGGAGCCCGGTGTCCATGGTGCTGGAGGTGGGGTCCCATTCTTTGGTGGGGTGGGACTCATGGCTAATGGATTGATCTTTTGAGGTCTGTTTGTCTCGTAGGCTCTGTTGGACTTCCTGTCTTAAGACTTCATACCTGGGACATGGATGCGCCCAACTTGTTCTCTCTTCCCTTTTTTTGTAGGCTCCCAGGCCAGTGCCAGTACTTGGGCTTGCCGGTGGCGGATTACTTCAAGCAGTGGATTAATCTGAAAAAGGTACTGTGTCTGAGCCCCAACTGGGTGCTTCCCCTGGTGCTCTTGTGCCTCAGAGCTCCTGTCCTTTGCTTTCTTTTCTTATATCTCTTCTCCTTCTTTTTCTTTTTGTTCTTCTCTTTTCTTAACCTCTTCCTTTTCCTTAGCTAATATGCACTGAAATGTGGTTATTTCTGACAGTGGAGAGCTGCTTGGGGACCAGACAGCTGGGCAGATTATGACACTGCCCTAGTTGGTGTCCCCCAGACATGCAGAGAAGTCCCAATTGAGGAGATTTTTGGGGGCTCTTGCTCAGAGCTGAGTCTGTGGGCAGAGCTGCCTTGTCTGTAGGAGAGACGTGGCGCTAGCTGAGCCTCTGGGAAAGTATTCTCCTTTGTTGTTATCATGAATGTGGCCTCTGACCCTCCTGACTGGCCCTGATATATCACTCTGGTTGGGAGGCAGAGTTCATTTAAGTTGGCTTTGTTCCTGCCTTGCTCCAGGAGAGCCTGGTTCATGTGAGGAAGAGCCATGGAATCTAGAGTCCAGTTCCCTTTGGACATGAGGGCAGAGACTGGAACTCATGTAGCATCAAACATCTGGGGAGCTGATGCTGAGGCTATGGACCGACAAGGACCCCGTGTGGCTAGGATAGTGAGCCCTGGAAGAGAACAAATCACTTAGAAAACTGTACTTTCCTAGCAGAGTATCCCTGCTCTAGAGGGATCCTAGTCTCCCAGTGCACTAGGGAGACTCACCTCCATAAATCATTCTGATCTAAGGGCAGCAGTCCTGGAGCAGCCTCAGGAGCTTCATGCTACCAGTCAGAGGAAGCTCAGAGAAAAGAGAACACACCAGGGGTCAAGGTAGTGGCTCCCAGGGCGCTTAGAGAAGAGAGAGGTCAAGGGGGTTGAGGCTAGGTATGGTGAGGATTTGAGTCTTGACCTGGGCATTCAAGGAAGGTGGGATATGGATAGGAGGAGAAGAGAATGCTTTCTCGGCAGGGAGGGCAGCATGCTTTTGGTGTGTGTGGGGGCTGGAGCTAAGCAAACATGTGGAGTAGCAGTGGAAGAGAAAGCTTTGTAAGTATTTGTGCCACACTGACAATGACCTTGGACTTAGTTCCATACTTTGTGGCATCATTTGTGAAGTCCTTTGCTTTCCACTGGTGGACAGGTGCTTTGCACTTGGCTTGTTTGCAGTTTGACTCCTACCCCCCTTTCCTGGTGATCTCCCATGAAACTGGGCAACTGCTGCTTACTACTCCTCTTATGCTGAAGAAGCTAGGCACTGCCCTAGCTTTGGGCCTTGCCCTATGGCCTGCCTTCTGTCTGAAATGTCCCTCAGTCATCTTCATTGACATATTCCCTGCCCTGGAAGATTCAACTCAGTTATCACTTCTGAGAAGCCCAGCAGTCAGTCTCTTGCCTTGAGGTTCCTTGGCACTTGGGAAATCACTTATCTCAGTTGAAATTGAATCCATGTGTGTTTCCTTCCACACATGGCCATCTGGATCACAGAGATGAAGTCTGGTTCCTCTCTGTGTCTCCGGTGACTAGGCCAGGGCTGGGTATAGAGTATGTGCTCAGTGAGTAATTGCTGGCTGACAGATTCATCTTTGAGGACTAGTTCCATAGAGGTCCTCCCAAGGCAGAGCTAGGCATGTAGGTGGGGCTAGGCGTGTGGGTGTGGCGAGGCATGGACCCTGGAATATAGCATACCGGCTGTCAGAGCACATCTGAGCTGCTTGCTGGCCTCAGCAAATGCAATGTGAAGGCCCGGCCAGGCGAGGCAGGCGCTGACCATGAACAATTACCCTGTGAAGTTCACTAGACTTTTTGGTGTATGGATAGCTCCCTGCCTCCAGGTTCCTTGGCAGAAAGGCAGGAAAGCAGCCAACCCATGTTGTAACATTGCCACGCAGGGTCACCTTGGTGCTGCTGGCCCAAAGGGTGGGGGTAGAGGCAGGCTGCCCAGAGTCTGTTCAGCTTGGTTCCCCTGCAGACTGTGCTGACCTGAAGAGGAGGGGAATAGATACAAGGGGAAACTGAGGACTCTGTTCCTAGTTGGCCTTGTGATTTCCTTGTGTGAGGTAAGCTGAGCAAGTCTGGGAGAACAAGGGGTCTAACCCCTTCCTCTCTGTACTCCAGCCACTTTGTATTGCAAGGGTGCTTAAAGGCCCGACAGGAGAGATGGCTTAACTCTGGACTTTAGCTCAGTCCTTACCAACAGCCATTCAGGACATAGAGGCTGCTGAGTCCTGGAGGCCCAGGGGCATGGTACTCTTTCTGACCTTTATGCTGTGTGACTTGGTGCAGGCTGCACTAAGATTCCTGCTTAAAAAGAGTAATGATAAAAGCAGAGCCAGAGAGGTCATTGTCAAGGTTGTAGGAATATTATGTAAAAGCCTTACTCCATGTCTTGTGTCCCCTGTGTGACCCAGGCTTTGGTTCTCTACAGGGTCCTCTCCTGTCCTTGATCTTACTTTATGTTTCTCCCTTCCCTTTCTTCTCTCCTCGTCCTCCACTCCCCGAGCACAGCATTACTCCTTGAGAAAGGTGGGGAAGGTCCTAGTCTGCTTGGTCACCTGAGACTTGCCTAGTGAGTGAGCAACTGGGGATGAATTCACCATGCCTATTTCCTAAGACCTCTAATCTGAGAAGAGGCAAAATGTCTTTCAGCTGCCCTTACTTCTCCAGAAATGGTGTGGGTTGCATCAGGAAATAGGCACTTTTCAATGGCCAAGTTTCCACATCTCCCGCTGCCACCTACTTCCCCTGTAGCAGAGTGGAGCAGGCCTGTGTTTGCTGACATTTGGAACGTCATTGAATGATCTTATATTCTTATTGAGCTGTCAGCATAGAGAGGACTTGGGGCCCTGCTCCCAGCTCCCTCCAGGAGATCAGAGCTGTCACTGAGGGGCCAGAAGAATAAACACACACACACACGCACGCACGCACGCACGCACGCGCATAAATATACACATGTATATGCATGTGAATGCATACACCCCAAGTGAGTATACTCCAGATTGCATGTCTGTATCCATACATGCGTTCATGTATATGCACATATTCCTATAAGCAGTCACCTGCAGAAGTATTTGGAGACATACCCAGACATGATGGTGTTTATACATATGTATTCATAAGGTATAAAGATATGTGCACACAGGTAAACAGACATATGTATAAGATATATATATCTTCATCAATAAATGAATATTCTTTTTTGTGTGTGTGTGAGACGGGGGATGGGTCTCACTCTGTCACGCAGGCTAGAGTGCAGTAGTACAAACACGGCTCACTGCAGCCTTGACCTCCTGGGCTCAGATGATCCTCTCACTTCAGCCTCCCAAGTAGCTGGGACTACAGGTGCCCATCACTATGCCCGGCTAGTTTTTGTATTTTTTGTAGACATGGGGTTTTGCCATGTTGCCCAGGCTGGTCTCAAACTCCTGGGCTCAAGCAGTCTGCCCTCTTCAGCCCCCCCAAGTGCTAGGATTGCAGGCATTAGTCACTGTGCCTGGCCAATAAATATTTTGAATGCCTTCTGTGTGCCAGGTACTGTGTGACGGCCTGGGGATATAAGAAAGTAGACATTGAATAAATAATTTTAGTTGCATTGAGTAACACTAAACAGTTCAGAGTCATGGATCATATAAGAAGGAACTAACTTAGTAGGGTGGGGTGAGAGAATTGTTCCCTGAGGAAGGATGTCTAAGCTGAGACCTGAAGAGTGAGTTGGAATCGACTAAGCACAAAGTAGCGTGTGACGAGAGACTGAGGTGAGGAGAAGCCTGGCAGCTTTATGAAACTAGAATGTAGGTTCTAGGAGGAGAAAGAATTTGTGTCTCATGTTCACTGCTCTACTGCCATCACTGAATAGTTCCTGGCACACAGATGTTTAATCCTTATTTGTTGAGTGAATGAATGCCTAAAACGTAGTGAAGGTGACAAAAGGAGAGTGGCATGAGATGAGGCTAGAAGGAAGTCAGGAGCCTATAGACCACACTTTGATTTTGACCTTGATGTTTAGGGTAAGAGGAAGCTATTAAAGGGTATTAAATATAAGAGGGGTATCATCTGATTTGCATTCTAAGAAAGTTCTCTCTGGCCGTAGTGTAGAAGGAGTTAAGAGCAGATACAGGAGACCAGTTTCTGGCTTTTCTTAATAGGGCTATGGCATTTTTGGGTGGGACAAATCATTGTGTGGGTGACATTGCTGAACTTGTAGCATCCCCAGCCCCTGTTGATTGAATACCAATAGTGCCCCTCTCCGAGTCATTGTGATAATAAAAAATATCACCCCGTATACATTTCTAGTGGCCTGGCCAGGATGGGAGTGGAAGAATACTGTCCTTGGTTGAGAACCACAGAATTAGGCTGTTTCTGTGGTCCAGGTGAAAGATGGTAATTACTTGGATTGAACTGATAGCAGTGGAAATGTAGAGAAATGGGCCAATTCCTGAGTATTAAATGGTGTAGTCGGTTCTGCTATAATGCAACATATATAGATTTCTGAAAATCATTGTGCTAGAGAAAGTCATGCAATAAAAATTCAGTTAGTGACACATAAAAGAAAAGATAGGAATCTAATAAAAATGGTAGCATAGTTTTACACATTAATGCTTAAGAAATACATAAATACCACAATAAATACGGTACTTTACTCTGTAAAACCCCAAAGTTTGCTTATAGAAATGGGCATGAGAAGGGTTGCAGCTTGTGAGTTATTGTGAAGTAGAGGAAGAAGATCATCTGAAATCAGATGGAAAATTGTAACCAGATGAATGTGGTCCATAACATGCAGTGATCTAGGTAACTGGTAGATGTTTAAGATGTCTGCATGTATGTGTTTTATATATTCCTACCCAGCCCTGTTCAGTGAGGTATAGTTTCCTGTGTTTATCTAGTATTTCTTGTGAACAAAATTGCACATAAGCAAATGTAAAATTTGTGTTACTATAAGTTGTTCCAAATACATCAGTTGCATTGGACAACTTTGCTTTTTCAACGAGTATT